GTACAACTAACTATACAAATTGAGCGAAAAACTGAATAAATACAGAATAGATCGTCAAATACGTATCGCATCAAAATACTATCTTCTCTAACAATTAATTTTTTTAATAAGCTAATTTAATATAATTTAGCAACTTCTTATAAATAAAAATTAGTATTAAACTATCATTTTTTATAAATCACTGAATTTTAAAATCGTGATTTTGTTTATTATCGTTATTCAAAATTCAAAATGATTACAATGATAACAAATAATAACAAATAATATGTGCATATCGAGTTTAAGCAGGACGATAAGGAAATTATTTGCTCATGTGTTGACATCAAGCTAATGACGCCATTGTTTATATTGATACATAATACTTTTTATTTTGCATCTATTAGGACTCAACGGGACCTCAAATGATATTGTCGACGCCTGACGTATGTAATTACGTGCACATTCTCATCCATACATCGGTCCTAAATAGACTACTCAATAAACGAGTTATTAGGCAGGGCTATCGGCTGATATTTACCCGCCTCTGCCCAATAACTATTTTTATTTTATTTTTTATTAAATTGATATTAATATAAATTATTTTAATATTGATCGTTTTGTAACACACATATTAAAGATATCATTTTTCAAGGTTTCGATTAAAATCAATTAAACTAATTCGTAATTATATAATATAAATAAATAAAAGGAGATAAATGAGATTGAACCAATTTAGAAAATTGCCGGAAATAAAGTCCAAATAATCGCGTTTTGCTTATGCAATCTACGTGTCCTTTAATCCTTTACTGAATAAGGTTGATAGAAAAATTATTAATTCAAGAAGCAATTAATACTTGTTAAGTGCAAATAAGTGTCCTATTCCACCATCAGTATATTGGAAAAAAATGAATCGCAATTTCGTATTAGATCTTCGTATGATGTCATTGGCCTAAATTACCGGCATTTTATACCATTACTGACGATCATTACAAATCATATAACAAATGATACAATGGGGGTGGCGTAGTTACGCCTATTTATATCAGGTAATACTTTTGTTAGATCTTTTATTATACAAATTCAGAACAGAATAATAAATTCGATTTCGAAATTATTTCAACCCATAAACTAAATATTAATTCGATCACATTGGTAGCGCCGGTCCGTTCATACATAGGTTATTGACAACGTGCAGAATTTTTATTATTTTAAAAGTAATAATAAAGCAAAAGTTCAAATGTAATGTCGATAAACAAGAATTTTTTTTTAATAACCAATAAAATTGATTTAAATCTTTATTGTATAATGCGCATACCGATTGAATTATTTTAAGAACAATATGAACAATATGTTCTATTGTGTTTGTTAAAATTTTCCGAATGGCTCATTTTGATCGTCAAAACATCGGAATTAAGTATGGATATCAAATGAAATCTAGCTTATATTAATTTGGATTTAGACATTCAGCATTTGTATAAATTCTTTTTTTTAAATAAAAAAAAAATAATAAAGAATTAATTTATCTTTTATAATTACAAGTAAATACAACAAGAAATGATGAATCCGAATCGCTTAAAATCTCGTGATGGCACCATATTACTTGACGCCATCATTCTGATTATTATCCAAAAAAGGATGCGATATTATAAATTATTTTTTTTTGTTTTCCAACCAATTTTAAGTAATATAGTATATTGATCCTCGAATTTATTTTATTACTCATCAAATCAATACATACTATTACTTTCTTGATTTACGTATAATGTTGTAATAGGATCAGATCTAAAGTTTTATTCGAAGAGTAAATGGCCACTTAGGAGTCAGCTAAGGATTCTAAGGATAATACATTGTCACTCAATTGTTTACTTGAATAAATTACTTATACGTTATTATTAATTTCAGATATAAATTGGCCTTTTATTTCCACTCTTCATTGATTAAAAAATAAAAAAACATCAAATAAAAAATCACTATACGATTCTTTTTATCGAGCTCTCTAATACATAATAATGCCTAAACAATTAGTATTCTGTAAAGTTCAACCAGGAATACGATCGATAAAGAGAAGGTCACCTAATATGTTTATTCTTTATCGAAAAGAAATGATGAAATATAGACCAAAAAACATCAAGATGACCGAATTCAGTAAAATTGTTTCGAGAAAATGGCATAATTTATCAGAATATGAGAAGAATATTTGGCAAAGAAGGTATCATATAAATAGGGATACACAATTACAAAATGCCTCTGATTCACCTATTGAGCCCCTCGATGATAATCCGACCTACACTGTCAATCCAAATTCCGTTAATGTCTTACCGTCTGTTATGAGAGGCGACTGCTATTTAACTTTAAGCCAATGCGAAGACTCGATTTGTTAAGAAATCTATAGATTCGTGATTTTTTTTTTGTCATTATTATTGTATAAAACAATATTTCGTTTCGTTTTGTATATCGTTTCTTTCGAAGGATATTTTTTTTTATTGTTTCGTTTCGTTTTGTATATCGTTTCTTTCGAAGGGTATTTTTTATTGTTTCGTTTCGTTTTGTATATCGTTTCTTTCGAAGGGTATTTTTTTTATTGTTTCGTTTCGTTTTGTATAATTTCTTCATCTGGTAATTTTTTTAATTTTTTTTCTTACCATTCGTTTCGATCGATGCTTACTCGCATTTAAAAATGGAATATTATTTAGTTTAAATTTAAGATTTAATAAGATTAAAATTAAGATTATGATAAGTTTGAAATTAAGAAATATATAAACCAATTTAAGATAATGTAATTACTGAAAAAATACAAGAATAAAAATATATAATTAAAATGCCAAGTGTCATCAATGTGACTTAAATCGGTATAGTAATTAGTCAGCTAAATGCAAATTTTTTACGTAAGATTTCAAGGCCCTGCGAAACATTTCAAAATTATAACTGTCTTAACCTCAAACCTTCCTTTACTTCCTTCTTTCTGTATTGCACCATAATACCATTTTCTTTTTCTAACTCCCTAAGACAGCTTACAAAAAAATTATCTTACAAATATATTTCTTGTCTTGTAAGATATTAAAATATAATCATAAATAATAGATTTCCATTTGATAGTTTCATATAGATTGCTATAATCTCACATACTTTAAATTCTCATTGATAGAAGAATAGATTTTATAAATACCTTTCAATTCGTTACATTCGTTTATAAATAAAAATAATCGTTCGATAAATTATTTTAATAAAAATGTTATTTTTTTCAATGAGAAAAATCCAAATAATTTTCTTATCGTTATATTTCTTTACTACGAATTTTATTATTTATTTAACTTTATTTGGAAGTTAATTTCCTTTGAAATTTATTTGTAACTTATACAATTTATTAATTGAATATCAATACATACATCAATCTGCAAAAGTAATTGGAAAGCTCTAATTCAAAAAGTTAAACATCATTAACTCATCAATCAGTAATCGTAAAAATATATCTAATGCGTCGAAATGGTTATGATTCATGGCTTTAGCTTAATAGATGGTAAGTTATAAGTATTTTTTACGTTTTAGAACCATTTCAAAATAACTTGTCGTTTATTGATTCTAAAGACACAATGACACCATCTGTCGACATTCTTTTAATCATGCCGAATGCAGTGAGCTATTTAACTTCAACTTAGATGCAAGCTGTAGAAAAGTTTAGGTCAGATGTTAAATATCAAGGATTAATTAAGAAGGTGAATACAAAAGATGATTAGAAGAACAGCTTTATAAATTCATTTTTGCAATGAAAAAATAAGATGGTTCCGAATATCATGCTTCTTCAATTAACAATTGTCTTTTTATAATAAATCGCCACTTAAATAACAAATCTATTCTTCAAAAGTCTATTAAAATTATGGATAAAGAACAGTTTTATAGATTATGGTAAGTTTTTAATAGTAAGGTCAAAAATCTTGCAAATCAAGGATTTGGAGAACATAATGGATTCGAGAGTTTACTGAAAAATAACTTCTTATGATTATTGATTACCTAACAATGTCTGACAAAAAATCCTAAAAATTTATTATATCAGATTTTTTTTCAATACCATTTTCTTAATATTAAGAGGTAGTGAATGCTTTAATTTGCAATTTAATAGTTTTATATGCAGAAAAGACAAATGTAAGGATTTGATTTATTATTTATAAATTAAAGATCAATCAATATACTATTAATATTGATTCTCAAGATAATAAATTATATATTTCTGAGCTTTCTGGTATTACTGAAACATACGAATATACTTTCTAAATAACCAACTCACATTTTTATTTAAAATCATAAAATATTAATAAAGGTATTATATAGATTAAGAATTTTAATATTTTAATTTGAATCTAATGCTAATATTTTAGTATTTTATATTTTTATAGTTGACTTTAATGGATAATGGTATCATAGAAAACATATATCTAAAAAGAAATTAAAACATTCATGAAAAAAATTATTATTTTAACTGGATTGAATATAGATGATCTCATAAAATTAGCAACCATTCTAGTTATAAAACATTTGTACAAATATTGAAACGCTGCGAATTTTCAAATTCTGGTTCAAGCATTGAAATTTAATATAATAATGCTGCAAATATTGCAGAAGTATTTGGATTTAACAAAAATAATAAGAATCAAATAGGCAAGTTATTATTATCAAGAAATATATTTTTTTTATTAGAAAACTTATTAATTACAGTAAATTAAACTTTTTTGTATTAAAAATAGTCTAACCTATATCACTTCAGGGTGATTTTAATGTTGCTAAATCATTGCTTAATAGTAGGTAAACATTAATTTACAATTATATTCTATATTTATGTAATCTATTTAATAATTTTATTTAGACAAAAATAAAATTATTAATCCAATTAATGAAGTTACATGAAACCTATTGCAAGAATTAAATAAAGTTCAAGAAAATCAAAACCAAAATTTGAGAGACTTGATTTTGAACTTAATATCTGATAAAGTTTTTATCAATTGTTGTATTTCAAATTATATCACTTATTACATTAAATGCTTTAAATAAAGTAAATTTATTTTAATTTTTATATGTAAATTTGTTTTTTTTGACTAAATAATAGTTTATTTTATTATTTTTATAAAAATAGCTAAATTAAAGATCTATGACATCATATGGAGGAGCATGATAATAATAAAATAAAGTATTAATTCTTTCATTGCTCCCAAAACAATCGATCTTCTGAATGCGCCCACTTATTGATGAAAGATAACAATATCTAACTTTTATCCCAAAATTTAAATTTAATGTTTAATATAAAAAAAAACACATTAGCATTCCGACAAATGAATGGGCGAAGTTCAATACATTTTGCAGATCATTTCAAAAATAAATGTGGCAAAAATAATTACATAATTTGATTTACTCAGAATAATTATTAAGTGCATATATTAATATTGGTTGATGGCAACAATAATATACTTCGAAACGCGTATTTAAAAGAACCCGCATAATCCGATCCGATCGGCATTTTCAAGTACCGGTAATCAATTTTCATTTCATTCTTTTCCCAATTAATTCAATTGGATTAATCATAGATAGCATGGTTCATATAAAATCATAATTAGAATGTTGAATTTTATCTATGGAGCTTTTTATTTTTTTTTAACACATGAGTAATGTGTGATAAGGAAATGATGTTCATTTTTTTGAACCCGAAACGAGAAGAGAAGAAATGAAAACAGAACACAAAATGTTCATCTCATATCGTAAAGAAAAGATGTAAGATCGACCACCTAATATAACAATGGCCGAATTTAGCAAAATCGTTTCGCAAGAGTGGAAAGTGCTATCAAAGGATGAAAAAGCTATATGACAAAGAAAAAAAGTTAACGAAGTTAAATTGCAAATAAATCTATTACAAAATGTAGATGAGACCGATATCAAAAGTTCCTTAAATTTGAAGGCAACTGAAGACGAAGGTCGGATGAACAAAGATCAAAAATTACAAAAAATGGACAATAATTTCATTGCCAATAAACTAGGAGAAAGTTCGAGTAAAATTCATCCCAATTCTATATACTATAAATACTACACATATTACACATTTTAATATTAATACATTTTTTCGTTGAAAATATTGACAGAAATCGATTTATATTTATTAATTTTTAATAATAATTCCTCTTCAAAGAACAAATTCGATTTTTTTTTTTTTGACATTCATTATTGGAGTAATCATTTTTCATTTTATGCATAATATTCTTTTTTTCCTTAATTAATCTAGTCGGTAAACTACAATTATTAAATAAAGGATCAATTAGTAAATTATTTTTAATCTTTATATAGTTAGATTGTGTTCGGAATTAACAAATTTGGCCTATATAATAAACATGCGATCCCCTCCATTGTACAAATTTTGCGTTGGAGGTACGTGATTATCATTCTGTATCACCCTCCGTGTTTCGGGAGTGGTTTAATTTTGAAACCCTATTTGTTACACATTATTTGACACACACGACATAAATGTAAGCAAAACGGATAAATATCTAGACATACTTTATATTGGACGTAATGAAGATCCACAATCCATAAAGATCCCTCACGAGATGATTTGCAATCTGTCATACAAAATAATAATTATATATTGAAACAATGAAAACTTAGAACATTAAGACCCTATAAAAAATTTTCATCCGAATATTTCCATTATTTCTCCATGGCTTACGTAAACTTTTCCGTAAAAATGAGCCTTTCACGGAATCCGTATAAATGAATTGAAAATTTCCGTGATTTAAGAGCACTTCACAGAAATAACATGGAATACAAAGCACGGATCAACTTTTTTTATAGGTAGAAATCTATCTCGCTCCTGAAAATCCACAGACGGCAAGCAGAAATTGACGAGGTACTTCTCCCTCCGTTGTTTATCGTGTAAAAGGTGTAAAGGTTTTGTGTCACATACGATAATAAAGAAAATTCGACAACATTCTTCGCGTGGTCATGACGGTTATTCTATAAATATTAATGCATGGTCATGTTCACGTACCGGTAGGCAGTGAACCGCTCCTAAAATTTTGCTTCTTTTAGAAATTTTGGCGAGGTAGGTTTCATCAAATTTAATTTAACTATTTGGATATACTGTATATACAAAAATATAAGATAAATTATAATTTTAAGTAATTTAATCAGCAAGTAAGAAAAGCATTATTATTTTGAACTAGTAAAAATGGAAGTCAAAAAAAGATCAGATCATGTAATTTTCGATTAATAAAACAACCTAACTTTAATGCCACGCCTCAATCTAAACACTTTTCTGTGACAAATAATGAGTGATTCACACTCAAAAACATTTATAGGAAAAACATGATGTGTGACCAGATAATTTTTTACTATGATCACGTGGGTAAGTCGAAACGCAGTGACGCGTCACATGTAAAGATGATAATCGGTCTCGGTCTTTAATTTTAAAAGACCGGACTAACCGCATTCTCTTCAATCTTCTATTTATGTGATTAAAATCAAAAGACCGGCAGCCTTTTTTGTAAAACTTTGGTCTTTTTTTAAAACTGCCGTCTTCAAAAAGACTGATCAATAAAAGTAATATAAATAGATCGACAATGAGTTTCATTTTTTTTTCTTTTTACAATGAACGAAATAAATGATGAAAGCGGTTCTTCTTTGATAACAGTTGAAGAAAATGAAGCTGAAACATTCCCTTATGAGAAAATGAAGTGAAGCTTTAAATTTAATGTAATATGTTATAAATATTATTTTTTTAAAAAAAAAGTCTGAATTACAAGACTGACGTGACGGTCCTTCCGATCGGTCTTTATAAATTAAAACCGTAGTCCGGTTCGTCTTTGTATAAGACTGGTGGTACAAAGACTAAGACGGACCGGACCCTAGGACTTATTATCATCTTTAGTCACGTGTCGTTTTATTGATTTACAAGTCAGTCAAAAAGGACAATGCTTTATTCAGCCACAAACTACTGACTTTACATTAATTAATTTGGAATCGAATCGTAATTTTTAAACGAAATTTTACAGTTTGTTCCCTGTTTCTTTCATCAAATATTTTTCATTTGATAATGAAGCTTACTAAACGTTCAAACTTTTATTGAAAAATCTTAAAAATCTTATTATTTGCCATAAATTTATTAAATTCCAAATTATCAATTTACGTATTGTAAAAAAGAATAAAAACGAAAAATGTAAGTTAACGAGTGACATAAATTAAATAGGGAAAAACGAAACAAAGCGAAATAAACGAAAGTAGCATACGATGCAAAAGGAGTATAATACCGAAATAACTAATTAAATATAAAAATACAAATAAGAGATAATTGAAAAACAAAATTTCAGATTTTTTGTTATAATTAAATAGGGTTTTATGAGTAATATAAATGTTCAGATTATTGCCATTAATGTTAAACATCTATTATAAAATAATAATAATAATTGTTCGTTGCCTGCTTCATAACTTATTAATAGCCATTATTCATGATATCATCATCCTCAACATACTGAAGGACAATTATAAATTGTTCCCATATCTGTTATCAAAGGAATAGAGTCCGATGTTTGATACTGATTAAATTGGTCATATGATGATGCAATCGAAGGATCATAGTCCAAATATTCGCCTTGATACTGATTGAACTCTATCGAAGGACTTAAGTCTAAACTTTCGCCCGTTTGTCCAACAACGTAATGTTCGTCGTTTCTTGCGTTTGGAAACGTTTGATACTGATTAAATTGATAATATGATGCCATCGTAGAATCATAGTCCAAATATTCGCCTTGATACTCTTGATACTGGTTGAACTCCATCGAAGAATTTAATTCTAAACTTTCGCTCATTTGACCAGAAAGGATATATTCGTCGATCATTATGTTGGAAAATGGTTGATACATCGAAAGATTATCTAAATTTTCGCTCATTAGATCATATACATCATTTTCGTTATTCATTACGTATGGAAACGTTTGATATAAATTAAATTGACCAACTTCCGCCATTGAAGAATTAAAGTCAAAATTTTCTCCCATATGTCTAGAAACGACATTTTCTTCGTTCGTTGCGTTGGGAAAAAAATGACACTGATTGATTTGATCAACCGCTGCTATCAAAGTATTAAAGTCAGAATTTTCGCACATTTGTTCATCTACGGAATGTTGATAGTTCATTAGGTTGGAACATGGTTGATACTGATTGAACCGATAAACTGACATCGAAGTATTAGAGTCCGATCTTTCACCCATTTGAATAGCAACCGAAGGAATAGAGCATGAACTTTCGCTCTTTTGAACAGCAATGGCATGTTCATTCACGGTGTTAGATGACCTTTGATCCCGTCTGATCTGATAATTTCTCATTCGTTCAGCTTTTTTATCTTCTGGCATATCACGCCAATTTTGAGATACCAGCTTGCTGAACTCCGTCATCGGCAAATTATCTTTGTTATATTGCATCATTTCGTTACGATAATCAATGAAAGCATTTGGTATTCTCTTCTCTGTGACCTTTTCCGATCCATCAGTCGTTTGTGGCTCTAAGAAATGAAAAGTCATGATTCAAAATTGTATAAAGGTGACAGAAGATGTTCAATAAAATATAAAGGTCTAAAATTTTTGCAAAGACTAAATCCAGTCCATTTATACATTTGAATCGAGAAGTTGATGCACATCAATTAATGTAATTAATATTTATAATCTTATTAAATTTTATCAGATTTTTCCCAAAAAGTATCGAATGACCTCAGGTGATTCTTCGGATGATGCTTCATTTCTTTTTTAAATTCAAAAAGAATCAATCACGCCCCATTAGATAATATTGTTGGTCGTGTGCGAGGTGTACTACCTGAAAATATGTCGTGAGTAATTCAAATACGCCACTCTGCTGCGGGAAATGCTGATGAGGGCATTGTTCATTTTAAATTATTAATTAGCTTCAAGCTGAAGATCGTGTTTTAAATAGGAGATCTTATCAACAAAAGAAGAATATTTATTGAGAATCCAATTATCTAATCAAGTATCCTAATTGAATTTAAAATTAATTAGTGATTGCGTACGGGATTAATAAAATAGAATTTAACGTGGAATTGAATTCCTAATTTATTTTATACGCCAAATAAATAAGCTCCTTAATTGGTATTTGATAAATGCATTTGAAACATTTTAAAGTACGTGACGACTCGAGATCAAGGAACTTTTTTTTATAACTTCAAATTACAACAAATATTATACGCCGAATAAATGCAGCCAAGCTATTTTATTGGAACCAATAGAACACATTGTTTAATTCATGTCGAGTAATTTCAATCTGAAGTTTACCGAACTAATCATTGGGTTCTGGATTGATAATTTTTTTTTTTTTTGATCCAATTCTTTTAGCATTTCATTACAGACTTAGAAATTTTTTGTAGATCTCATTATATAATTTTTCTGTGATTAATTAATATTACGTCATAGGATACTGCATGCATTAGATATCACATGCAATAACAATGTTTCCCAGTCCAGTAACATTTTATAAGCTTACTTTTTTTCAGGTTATTAAATTTCCATGTATTTTAATAAATTTCGCTAAGCAGAATATATGAATTTTATATATATATAAGCTAATTTATTATAAAATTAAATAACTATTATAAATAAAAAATTTTTATTAAACTTATTTTTTATAAATCCAAATTTTTAAGATTGAGATTTTGTTTATCATCGTTATTCAAACTTACAAATCTTTGAAATTAAAAAAAAATTGATTACAATGGCACTGAGTCTTAGACAATTATCAATAAATTCATTTGCCGAAATTTGGCAGATATAATTGCATAACCGAGTTTAAGCAGGACAAGGAAATTATTTGCTCATGTGTTGACTTCAAGCTAATGACGCCATTGTTTTTATTGATACATAATACTTTATTTTGCATCTATTAGGACCTCAACGTGACCTCAAATGGCTGATATTACCGACGCATGACGTATGTAAGCACATACTCATCCGATCCTCGGTCCTAAATAGACCCCACAATAAATGAGATATTGGGCAGGCGCTATATCAGCGTATCGACAATATTGAACATTTTGTAACGCACACATTAAAGATTTCATTTTTCAAGGTTGCGAATAAATTCAATTAACTATTCGCATATATAATATAACTAAATAAAAAGGAGATTGAACAAATTTAATAAATTGCCGGCAATATCATAAAAATCGCGTTTTGCTTATGCAACAAAATCCACGTGTCCTTAGTCGGAATAAGGTTTCTTGAAAATTATTAATTCAAGAAGCAAATAATACTAATTAAGTGCAAATAAATGTCCTATTACACCATCAGTATATTGGAAAAAAAAAAATGAATCGAAATTTCGTATTAGTATGATGTAGCCTAATTTTATAATTACTGACGATCGTTACGTATTTGGACAAAACATTTTGTGTCACTTTCATCTTTTATTATACAAATTCAGAACAGAATAATAAATTCTATTTCAACCCATAAACTAAATGTTAATTTCGGATCACATTTTTTGAAACGACAGAATTTTTATTATCTTAAAATTAATAATAATGCAGAAGTTCAGCTGTAATATCACGAATTTTGATAAACAGAATCTTTTTTTTTTAATACCCAATAAAATTTAATAAGCATCACATATATTTAACTTTAAAATCCTATTAAAGCTATAAGAAGGAATAATTTTATGTTTTAATCTTTATTATAAATCATATATATGCGCATAACGATAGAATTTTTTTAAGAACAATGTCATTTTGATTTTCAAAATATCGGAAATATGTATGGATATCAAATGAAATGTAGCTTGTGTCAATTTTGATTTAGCCATTCAGCTTTTCTCACCACTTGTATACATTTTTTTTTTAAAAAAATAATAATTAATTTATCTTTTAAAATTACAATCTTATACAACAAGAAAAGAAGAATCGAAATCGTTTAAATCTCGTGATAGTACCATATTACTTGACGCCATCATTCTGATTATTATCCAAAAAAGGATGCGATATGATGAATTATTTTTTTTGTTTACCAAAATTTCAAATAATATTGTATATTGATCCTCGAATTTTTTATTACTCATCAAATCAATACATACTTTCTTGGTTTATGCATAATTTTGTAATAAGTTCAGATCTAAAGTTTTATTCGAAGAGTGAATGGCCACTTAGAAGTCATCTAAGGATTCTAAGGATAATTCTTTGACCCTCAATTGTTTACTTGAATAAAATTATTTATACGCTATTATAAATTTCAGATATAAATTGGCATTTATTTCCACTCTTCATCGTTGGTGCAAAGAACAAAAAAAAAAAAAAAAAAAAAAATTCTTATCGTCGTTTCTCAAATTTTTTATTCGTATGAATCGAAATGTCTGATAAATCTGATAATTTCGTTTTTATCGATTGTCACCCAAGTATAACAACAAAAAAGAAAAAACCAAACATGTTTATTCTTTACAGAACCGAAATGTTGAAATATAAACCTTATAACATCACAATGACTGAATTCAGTAAAATGATGTCGAAAGAATGGAGAGAATTACCGGATTATGAAAAAAGTAAATGGCAAAAATATTATCACATTATTCGGGACCAACAATTACAAATCAATACCTCTGGTTCACCTATTGAGCATCTCGACGAAAATCCCACCTCAGCTGCCAATCCAAATTTATTAACTTATCTTCCAGTATGAAGGGTGACTGCTTCTTAACGGAAGGACCTCCGAAAGACTATTATTTTTAATAAGCTTATCACACCAATCAGATAGATTTCAAAATTCTTCAGTATCCAATTCGTAAATATATATCATCCGAAAGATTTTTTATTTAAATATAATATTATTATATTTATCAGTCATCGTTTGTAAATAAATATATATACAGTCCTAGCCAAAAGTAATGGCGGTTATTATTTTTTACTTATCAAAAATTTTTTCTAATTAACCTCAAAAAAAGTTTTTTTTAAATAAAAACCAATAAT